ATTTAAATAATGTTTGAAAATTATAGTGAGGGATGTAGTATTTTTCATGTGTTAACACAGATTGCGTGTTGGCCTGCGTGATGGAAGGCTCACTGCCACACACGGGACACTCCCACCTCAACAACCCATTATACTGGCTGTTGTAATAAGTTAATAGTGTAATTGTAATGTGTTGTTTAATTCCCGTTTAAATTAAGGTCTTATAGATTGATGTACTAAACTGTTGACACGTGCTGCTCGTAATCCACTAACCACGTCCTTGTTTACTAAAAATTCGCAGTGACGTCAAACTAATGATTTTGCTGCACATCTTTCCCTAAAGCGTCTCCAGAGTGTAGGATTATGCAGTTACATAATTACTTTTTTGTTTAAATTGTCGTGAGAGAGAAAGGGGTACTCCCCATGACCCCTTGTTTAATCCACGCCTACTACCATCCTCCGTGTTATGATTTTACAATTCGACCACCGGATCAACAGAGGCAACATTACCCACCTTTTTAAACAGTTACGGTAGCCTACCTTTAAGGGCGGTTTGTGTGACGTCATGTACAGTTTTATGCTGAAAATATTCTACTATTTTTGTTTCAATATTCAACCAAGCTATGAACAAATTTAAAATAACACCCAAAAATTATTGACCTAAAAAGATGGCAGAAGCTGTCATGTGTGAACTCCTGCTGGGCTCGGTCACGGGGAGGAGGATTATGGTGTTGCTTCATTAATGTTATTATTTATACCAAGGTCTAAAGATTCTTACCCTACACCCTCCCTCCCCACAAAGTCGAAGTAAAGATCGGTTGATGTTTGTCAAGATAAACACAGGGCTGTGTGTTGCCCCTCCTCAGTATGTTACCGCATTGGCCTCAATATCCGGGGTGGAAAGAGACATCGCGTGACCACAAAATTTAGATAAAATTTGATCCTCATATAGGTTGAGAAAATCATTATAGAAATATATTTTTTAAGTTTTGAAAATTCTTGGAATGTTTCAATGTGGGTTGGGAGTTGGTGTACAGCGACCACGAGAGGCAGGTAGTTTGTGCCTTTTGGAAAATATGGAAACTTTTGTAAGAAATAAATTTTAAATATGTATACTGTATGAGCAATAAATTTGAATTGTCCCCAAAAATGCAAAATTGCAAATTTACATGTTGGGCAATCTGCGAAGTCGGGTACACGATATGTATTATTATTATTATTATTATTATTATTATTATTATTATTATTATTATTATTATTATTATTTGTATTTGTATTCCTATAATACCGAACAGCCACCTTTTGCAGCCATACCCTTGGGTATCGAAGGCTGGCACTTGAGTGAGTGTGTCAGTGCTGATAGATTGTGACACACACTTGGCCGTACTTAAAACACACCAAGCGTGACGTCAGAGAGAGAGAAAGAAAGAGATATAATAAAAGAGGAAAGGAGAATTAATGAAAGACTGGGAAATAATGAGGGGAAAGAGTTAATAAGAGAAAGAATTTAAGATCGAGATATACTGTATGAGAGGGGGGAGGTAGAGGGAGTTAAAGAGAGTGACACTCTTGGCTCACCGTTAATGCACAACACTTCAACAAGAGATACTACGTGATGGATGACGCCCAGGTCATGGCGGTGTGTGTGTGAATCAACGATAGGGTTAGTCATCTTGGTTACTATCTTGAGGGTGACCCTCAGTGGTACAGAGGGAGTGTCAGGTGACTGCTGCTGCTGGTGTACGTCAGGGAAGTGTACATACAGTACAGTACTTTGGTCTCCTGTTATGGAATGTCTATGTGTGTCATGTTGTACACTTCATTTGTGTGTACACGTAGTACATGACTGCTGTCTCACGCTTTCCCAATAAATTGGCTCCTTACACTACAGACCATCAATTAGCGCCTGGCAACTTGATCAACGTGGGGTAGACTGTAACAGTTTATATGTGTCTGAGAAACTGTAGGTGAGGACAACAAAGCAGGGCAGTAGGAGGCAACAACCGGCACTGCCGTGTGGATGGTGTAATGAAACTTATCTTTATTGTGTATGAATTATTGATTATGAACAGTTGGATGGATCGGATGTCAGATTTCTAACATAAATATATTTGGTTAACCAGTAGCAGTTCAGGTGGGTGGGGAAGATGTTGGCAGTGATGGAAGTAGGCTTCATGGTTGAACCGCCTCAGCACACCCCTGGATGTAACCCCTTCATGTGACTAGTGAGAGTCCATTTCTTTCAGAGAATAGGTGGAAAAAACTCTCAGAGATGTGAGAGAGAGTGGGAGAGTTGTGCAAATGATAAGAAGGTGAACAATTGCAACTTTCATCCTGTTGATCCCTCACCCGTAGCACCGTCTACCCCCTCTCCACAACCTTTCCCTTTCCCGTCCTGGGTGGAAGAATAGGGTCAGATAGGCGGAACGGGAAGACTTAAATAGATTATTGATGCTGAAATCTGGCCCCGGTAGCCTTGAGAGCCATGGATGTTGTTATATAGATCAGTATCATTTTGATGTGTGTATATGATATAAATATCCCAAGCTCAACAAATCCGTAACATTCACATCCTGTGAAAACTTTGCGGATCTGGATGTGGCATCCATCACGAATACATACATACATGCATGCATACATACATACTGCCATGGTTGTATAGGTTCAGAAAAGCTTCACTACCATGTGGGTGTTGACGTCAACGTGTATGACTGACGCTGTACAGTGCCGAGGTTGATTTTTTTTTATTATTTATTGGGCACTCCCCTACATCCTTGTGTAAGGTGAAGCGCAGAAGCGTTTACAGCGCCCAACAGGGAAGCATGCTAAGTTCATGCTTGCCTTTATGTCTCACGAGTCAAGGGCGTCGAAGCCTGAAGAGTCAATGGTTTTATGTCATCAAGTTATTGGAAGCTCCAACAACTTGTCCCTGAATACGAATTCGCAACTTAAGATTTACACCAGGTACCTACTTTACTGCTAGGTGAACAGGGACTAATGGGGGCTAGGAAGTATGTCCAAACAACTTCCACCGGCCCGGGAATCGAACCCGTGACATCTCGCTTGAGAAGGCAAGAGCGGTACCACTCTACCACCAGCACCCCCACCGAGGTTGATGTTTTTACTGTTTAATTATAGGTTGTTGAGGTCACTTGATATAATGGTGAGAGTTATCTTGACACTTTGATGTGCACACTATACATTTTTGTGTTATTAACCCTTTGGGCTCTGGTGTCAATGGCTGTCGAAGGAAGATTCGTGGTGAGACAGACAGACAGACAGACAGACATGAATGTGATGGTTCATTAATCATAACTTATCATTATTTTTGATATACAGTATATTAATCACAAGTAATAATGACTCACCTATGTTAAAGTAAAATGACGTTAGCTTACCTCGTTTATTTAGTATTATATTCTACATGATTATGCATCAGGGTCGTTCTGTAATCATATTGGGTAACTGTGCACTTAAGTGACATCTATTATTATATCGTAACATTAAAACTATAGTTACTTTTGCACTGAATAATAATAAAAAATAACAAGATATTTGAGTTCTGAACTCTCAATAAGTAACTCTTAATTTTGATCACCTGCTGTTAAGTGACGCTTACCAGAGAGAGAGAGAGAGAGAGAGAGAGAGTAGATATAGTGAAGGAGGTGGGAGGGTTATGTGTGGCCTTCCTAAGTGTTCACTTCCTGGTGGCGTGGTGCCCCCAACACACACAAGAAGATAGGTACAGAATTGGAGGATGTGTGATAGATTAATGAAAGCCAGAAAGTCTTTGCAGAAACATTGGTGGTCGTATAATTAATAATCACAAATATGAAAATATTTAGTAAACACAGACTTTAAAGGATTTACTAAACAAACATAAGATATTTTATTAAAACAAACAAAAAGATAAAACAAGCATATTGTGGTATATTTCTGCCCGTTCATCCTGGTGTCCTCTGGGTATCATTTTAACATGTAACATGAGAAAAAGATGTATTTTGATGAAACTTGATGAATGACGTACCGCCGCAACAAGGCCTGGCGTGCGGTATTTTCCTCCGCATTTAAGGGGAAATACGAACCGCCGTGTCTCCATGGTGACGGAAGACCCCGAGACCTTCGTAGGCAATTATCAGTAATTATAAATATCATCGTTTCTTTTTTATTATTATTCTCTGTGTACCTAATTGTTAATGATGTGATAGCGTGAGTGGTAATAATGATGATGTAATAATGCACAGACAAATGAGGAGCTACAGTAAACGTCTACATAATATCCACAACACATTGGTTCATTTACCCGCCACGTTTTCCTCTCGGCTTCTATTATCAAAGGTTCATACAGTACGTTGACTTTTCTCTAACATTAATGTGAACATATCTCACTAAGTTCAACTATTGGAGGAGGGCAATGGGTAAATGACATTGAAACTGCGCTGAGATATTTTTTGTCGCGTAATTTAAAATTTGCTCAGCTGCTGTCATGCAGAATAAACACAAATAATTATTTTTTGCTTTGGAGGGGTTGGGGGAGTAGATCTATGGAACAGTCTACCAAGTAAAGTCGTGTAAGCAATAACAAAAGAAAAGTTTCAAATATCCCTGGACAAAACCATAAAAAACAATGGGGGCATCCTACACAAGCCTCCAGCCTCCTTCCCCGACGTGGCTACCACAATAAAAAAAATAACTGTGATGGTCATTGGCATTTGGCAAATAAAAATACATGCATGTACTGTATATAATTATGAATCATGAATGAGATGCTGTATAATTATTATGAGTAATATGTAATTATTATGAGTAACAGTTAATGAACTTGGAGGGAAGACACCTGAGTAAAGTAAGGTTTTATATTTCACATTCCACAATACCCACTATCAGTCTGCAGGGTGCAGCAATATTGATAACATAAATAATTTTAGACGTTGCTAATGAATTATTGGGCTTTTGGCTTGACAAACAAAATTAATAATAATTTATTGAGTGAAGATAATAAAGCGTTGTTTATGTTCCAGGGAATGACGAGGACGTGAAAGTGGGATCGTGAGCCATGGTGTATATAGGAGGTGGGAGATTGTGGTGTGCGGGGTGGGTGGCATTTTTCACACTCCAGCTGATATTACCCGCCCACACCCAGTTGGCTCACAACCCTCCACACACCCGAGCCTGGAACCAGGAGGACGACGGTCTGACACGGCGCCACCAAGCCGGTGGGACACCAACAGAGACATCCCCTCGCAGAGCCTGGTGGGAAGATTTGTCTGGGCGTCGCCAGACCCACCCCTCACCCACCACTACCCGCAACCCTGCCAGGGATGGCCACCGTGGCTCTGATCGCCAGAACACTGCCGGGCACGTCACTCAACATGGTCGCCAAGATGTAGTGAGCAATGACTCTTTGCACCTAGATCATCAGGCATCAAGACAGACTGTAAGGCGCCAACACATATCCCAACGACAGCAACATCATCAGCAACAACAACAACAACAACAACAACATAACTTAGGCACACCACGCCGGGAGCAGCGACAGCCACAGCGTCGACTGGAACATTATCTCGCACATCGCAGCCATTCATCCACAAGACGTCAACCATTGTACCCCCAGCGTCCTGATGTAACACGGCAACATGAGGCTCACCATGACCATGGCCACACAGCACCACAACGTCGAACTGTAGACCACACGACTTCTGTTAGTAGTCACACAACACCCTCACGCCAACATACCAACACAGCTTCTACACAGCATCATAAGAACAGCATCCCACGGCATCACACAAGTTCCCCTAATAGTGAGCGTCGTCCCCATCACGTTGAAGAAAAGGAGGAGAAAAAAACACCCACCACAACGGAGCAGGAACAGGGAGGAAGTGGTAATGAGAGGCGGCAAAAGAAACTGTTCACTGCCCACCGCCCATCACGCTCCTCAGGTGGTCGTCAACGTCCACCAAACATTGTGTTGATCATGACAGATGATCAGGATGTTGAACTGGGTTAGTACAGGACCTGTCATTCTAAGGCTGATATCCTCTTTTAGAAGATGTCATCCAAACCACTGGGCGTGTTGCTTGTGGTTATTTGATTTTTCTTCTGAAACTTAAATGTTTTTTACAAATTTATTATTATACTAAGTATTTTAATTGTGTTGGGTTTCAATTTAATTTGAAATTCTTTTTCAGTTTATGTTCTTTCTATCCTAACTAACAATTGATATTTAGCTTCTTTACCAAAAATAACAGATGGCTCTTGTGGCACTTGACACTTACTGTAGGTTGTATGAAAGTTGACGGAAAGTTGGAGCATTGAAGGCTTGGTGTACAGTAATTCGTCCGTGTGTGAGCTCGATCAACTTGCTCCGGCAGTACACTCAAGGGGTTGGCTGAGACTAAGGCTGATGGTGGCTGACTTGTTCATGGCTGAGTCTGATGATGGGTGGGACTGATGATGACTGGGACTAATCCTGGCTGAAACTGATGATGACTGAAATTGAGACTGATGATGGTTGAGACTGATGATGGCCGAGACTGACTGGTGATGGCTGATACTGGTGATGACTGATACTGGTGATGGCTGATACTGGTGATGACTGATACTGGTGATGACTGATACTGGTGATGACTGAAACTGATGATGACAGACTGGTGATGGTTAACACTGATGATGGTTAAGACTGATGATGGTTGACACTGATGATGGCTGAGACTGATGATGGCTGAGACTGATGATGGTTAACACTGATGATGGCTGAGACTGATGATGGTTAAGACTGATGATGGCTGAAATTTAGACTGATGATGGTTGAAATTGAGACTGATGATGACTGAAATTGAGACTGATGATGGCTGAGACTGATGATGGTTAAGACTGATGATGGTTGACACTGATGATGGTTAACACTGATGATGGCTGAGACTGATGATGGTTGACACTGATGATGGTTAACACTGATGATGGCTGAGACTGATGATGGTTAAGACTGATGATGGTTGAGACTGATGATGGCTGAGACTGATGATGGTTGACACTGATGATGGTTAACACTGATGATGGCTGAGACTGATGATGGTTAAGACTGATGATGGTTGACACTGATGATGGTTAACACTGATGATGGCTGAGACTGATGATGGTTAAGACTGATGATGGTTAACACTGATGATGGCTGAGACTGATGATGGTTGACACTGATGATGGTTAACACTGATGATGGCTGAGACTGATGATGGTTAAGACTGATGATGGTTGACACTGATGATGGCTGAGACTGATGATGGTTGACACTGATGATGGTTAACACTGATGATTGCTGAGACTGATGATGGTTAAGACTGATGATGGTTGACACTGATGATGGTTAACACTGATGATGGCTGAGACTGATGATGGTTAACACTGATGATGGTTAACACTGATGATGGCTGAGACTGATGATGGTTGACACTGATGATGGTTGACACTGATGATGGCTGAGACTGATGATGGTTAAGACTGATGATGGTTGACACTGATGATGGTTAACACTGATGATGGCTGACTGATGATGGCTGAGACTGATGATGGCTGAGACTGATGATGGCTGAGGTTGATTATTGATTTAAATACCGAGCTCTTCGTATTTAATGTCATTTCATAAATTTTATTAATAAATTTCGTAAATAATTTTATTTCCAGATTCTTTTCGGTAAAGGTACTAAGTTTGAGGTGGTATTTAATGATCATTGTATCTAGATAAAGTGACATTGACAGGAAAACTGACAATAGTTTTACAGTACTAGCACTTTTACCCATCTTATGACCAAAAATTTAGTTTTAGCATCCCTTAAATGCAGTCCTTATTAGTGCCAATCCCAACACAGTTTTGATATTGTATAACACTTAAAGAACACTGCATTTTTAGTCCCCCTTCCATGTAACCCTAATCATTGTCATCCTACCAAGAGTCGCCAGGGGTAGACCTGCTACTCCACCTGTCAAGTTTAATGATGGTAGACCCACAGCTGTGGAAGCTGTAGGTGCAGTAAGTTCAGTGGACAAACCGAAACATGGGATGAATTAACAATGATTGCTTATGGGCTCACAGAATAGATAATGACAAAATTATTTTACAGGGTCCCTGAACTACATGCCATCCTTGATGTATCAGATGAAGGAGCAAGGTGCCCACTTCCCCAATGCTTACTGCTCAACTCCCATCTGCTGCCCTTCACGCTCCTCCATGCTCACAGGTCTCTACATCCACAACCACGAGGTGAGAGAGAAAGTGGGTGTTGGTGTGGGTGGGTGCATGCATGATACCTCTTAAGAAATTATAAGGATAAACAGAATTAAATTAACCTATTATCTGGTGAGATGCATCAGACTTTTTCATGTTGGCACCATATACAGTGTCTCATTTTTATTTGGTAATATAACAGGGGTGGATCCAGGAATATCAAAAGGGGGTCCAAGAAGTTGTGGGTGGGGGAACATGGCGAGTGCAGCGAGCCCACCCAGCGGTGGGGTTTGGTGGGGGGCGCTGTAAGAGCCCCCCACCCCCCGAAGATTTTTTGGAAATCTGACCAATATCATGGGCATTTGGAAGCCATGCTCACTTGATATTAGGAGATGTTCTAAAGTCAAGAGTAAATACTTTTTACTATACAAAAATGACTGAGTACAATACTGCATTAAAGAAAAAGTACAGGTATTGGAATTTTCTGGTGAAAGGGGGGGGGGGGTCCGGACCCCCAGGAACCCCCTGGAACCCCCTGGATCCGCCCTTGTATAACTTAAAAACCTCATGTGTTACAATATAGATCATCACTTAGGGCAGGATTTACAGTACTGTTCTCTCAAGTTTCTTCAAAGACATCGGACAAAGCTTCCGGTCTCCTCCAATGTCTCTATTTCTATTTTCCAATGTATAGTATACTGTACAGTGTTACTAACATCACTAATGTACTCAATTTCCTCATCATTTGATGAATCCTTAATCTCAGGGTCTTCAACTGCAGAAAGATATTCGTCTTTACTGGAGTCACTATTATATCCTTAAAAAGGTTGTAATATTATCTACAACTGCACACGATGGGAGCATGTAGTTGGTACTGATGTGGACCTCACGACACACATCAGTGTGCAGCTCTCTTGAGGCATTCCCTTGAGAGAAACCCTTTAAGGGTGAAAAGGACATTTTTATGTTTTTAGAGGTACACTGCAACACAGCCTGGGTTGCCTCCTGAAGATATTCCCTTGAGATAAGGAAGATCGCTGATTGGTTGAATGCTGAAGGAGTAAAACTTTGCCTTTTCTCTATTTGCCAAATTTGAGTAAACTTGTGATGTCTATGAGGGTACAGTCACACCCACAAACCTCAGTGCAAATGTACAGTATAGGGAAAATGATAATGGAGAGACATTAGAAGACCCAATACTGTACTCTGCCAGTAGTGATGTATGAGTCAAAGGGCTGAAGAGTTTCCATATGAAAGGTTCATAAAATGTAGTTTGTCACTCACAGATGTCCATTTTTATATTTTGTATATCAATAGTGATATTGTACCTGTATTTATGTTTGTATCTGGATGTTCAATGATCCCTTGCTTGTCCACTAAAGTGTCTGTGTTTTAAAGGTGTACACTAACAACCACAACTGCTCATCCCGTCAGTGGCAAGAGACTCATGAACGCAGGAGCTTTGCCACCTACCTCAGGGCTGCTGGCTACAGGACAGGTGAGTTTCATGAATGGTTCTGGTGATACTCTGACACTCATACAACACAACCTCAATAAGTACGGTAATTAAAACTCGCATCCCTTACACTATTTTTTACACGTAGTGGAGTGGTATCACCAAGGCTTGAAGGGTTAGCCTGGCACATAATGCCCCAGCAGCTTTCCCAGAAGCAATGTCTAATGACTGTGGCAAATCCAAGGGGGAGGCGAGATACTGATTTTGTAACTTCCGCCACCCTTTGGTCTGAAGGCTACTCATAAGGCAGGGATGTGGAATGCCCCCAAATATCCAATATTCTGCCCTTTTCAAGTGGGGTGAGGTGTGTACAATTCTTGGAAATGTTCTATTTGTTGTAACTGGCCAAGATCAGGCTACATCGCTTTAAAAATCAAGACCTTAGAAGAAATATTTATGGTGTACATACTGTAGTTACTGTTATGTGATAGTACAGTACTGTACAGTGTTCTGAAATAATCTAATAAATCATATTCTTGTACTGAGATATTAAATTAAATGATAATAATGCAGTTACTGTTGAGGGTTGGTTTGACAGTCAATTTGGAGCCTGAAGTTTTTTCTTTATTACATCTCTTAGATTACACACTCACCTGATGCCGAGAGTGTTAAATGATGATAATTTCCAGTACAGTTGAAAGTTATAGAGAAGGAGAGTGTCTGGGCATGGCAGATGAACACAAATTTTTGTTTGAGGAACATATAAGATGATGTAAACAAGATCGACCACTTATCGACCTGATACAGCCAACATTACCGATGCTCTGGGCTAGAAATCTCCTGGAAACTGCAAATACAGTAGTACCCCTGTACTTGCAACTGGATAATGTGGTTGGTAAAATGGTATACAAAAATATAAAACATGGATACAGTACTTAGTACCACAGTTAGTAAACCTGGGGTTGATGAGGGTTTGCTGCATAATGCCCAGTACCCACACTGTTAAAGTGGGTTGGTGATAGGAGGGACATCCAGCCATAAAACTTCAAATTTGCCTGATAGCAACTGGGAGAATGTGCAAGAGACCATGCAGCTTATAGAGATGCTATCAGGTAAACACAAGTTATCCATGCAAGGGTGAAAAGTGGCTATTAAAGGATGATGATGATGGAGATGATTAACACTTTCTCAGTTCCCATGGCAGGGCCGCTCCATCCACACGCAAGGTGAACTGAGCATGGGCTGCCCCCACCCACCCATGTGGCATGCAGAAGAGTTCACAAACATATGAAGGTAGTGGTGCTATTTTCAGTCATACATTTATGTATTTACCTTGTACAGTAGAGTACAGCTACTCCTCGACGTACGACCACCTGGACATATGACCGCCTCATTCGTACCAAAATTTTGTCAAATTACGTATTTTCGAGTCCCAACGTTAGTGATTGCGCTGTGTACTGACGAAATTTTCGTTTGTAATTCATTTTAAAATGTCTGGCAAGCTTAAAAGTGAGAGTTTTGTGGTGCTGAGAAGAAAAAGAGACACCCATTTTAGATTTTCTATGTATTATTTAAGCATTTTCGACTTACGACCAATTCGACTTATGACCTGGATTTAGGTCCCTAACCCCGTCGTAAGTCGAGGAGCAGCTGTATATGATTTTCAGTATACAGTACAGTGTATATGATTTTAAATGAGAAAATTGCCCACATGACCATTTATGAAACTAGTTTGTTTTTAAAACAATACACACAAGTTGAGATAGGTATATCACCCCCTATGTTAGAACCAATTGGATTTTAATTATCAGCTGTTGTATTGGTACATGAATAGAGAAACATGAGAGCATGTGTGTGTCTGGTGTTTTAGGGCAAGCTGTTGACATTGAAAGTTTAAGTTGGTGAAAATCACTAGCATGGGTAGCATTACTTAAATATGTTTGTGATGCTAACATAAATGTGGTTGTTATAAAATGTGTGTGGGATGCAAGTATTCCTTCCTATTTGGTTGTGAATGGAGTGATAGATATAATGATAAAATATACTGTATGTGGATTGTTATGGAGAGTTAAATGCTAATGGTATATAATTATTAGGTGAAGGAGAGTTAAACACTTTGTATCTATTTTTCTCCTCACAAACAGGTTATTTTGGAAAGTATCTCAACAAATACAATGGCTCCCACATCCCAGCTGGGTGGCAAGAATGGGCGGGGCTCATCAAAAACTCTCGCTACTACAACTACACCATTCAACGCAATGGTCACTTTGTCAAGTATGGTGACCAGTACCCTAAGGTCAGTTAAAGTATCCAAAACTTTTTGGAGAGTAGAACTAGTTTTTAAGTCTTTAGACCAGGTATCATGAATTTTTCCCCTCACACTATTCTTTTTTTTTTAACTCTTTATTAAAACATTATGGGTGAAAACAATATTTGCAGAAATGTAGGTACATTACTGTAATACTGTATCTTTATTTTGCCAAATGTGGATTTGCCATTTTTGGTGTTTCCCAGGCAGGTAACCCCCTTGTTACTTTTATTATTTTTAGTTATATTTAATGAAATAAACAATTACAATTAGTGTAATTATCATCATATTGAGTGTCTGTAAAATTGCGATGTTGGGAGTGTTGAGTAAAGGTGCCAGAAGATGACCACCCCCTTCCCTCCCTCCCAGTTTCATAAATTTTCTCACTTGTGTCATTCAATGCAGTGAAAATCATATATTTGTTGGAGCTTATTGTGCACATTATAGCTTTTTATTTTAATCCTTACGGTTGTGGTCAACTGCCACATTGACACTTCATTGATCAAACAATCACCAGGATTTTCTCCTTACAGTATTGAATGACTTCATCGTTTAAGTTAGTTGCTGTGAAGGAGGATAGGTGATGGAGGCCTCCTTACCACTCTCTCTCTCACTGTAATAGTGTACTATTTTAGATGAAAACATAAAATTTGCAATGCAGTGAATTTTTCACACATTCTAGAACAAGTGTCTGCCCGATGGAGTTAGAGTTTGGTAGATAAATAGGTACTTATTCAGTAAAATTGAACATACACTTTGACAATGATTCAGCATGTACACAACCAGTAGAAAACGGTAAGATGATTCAGCCAAGGTTAGTCCAAGTATGCTGGGTTATACAGGTAGTGCTCTATTTAGAAGTGGAGGGTGCAGTAAGAGCTTTGTTATACCATTCAGTGCAATATTTAATATAGCCAGGTGATGTACCATGTCTTACAAGTATAAATGTGATAAAGAGGAGTGTAATTCTAGGTCCTTTTTATACTTTGAGTATGAGTGAAATGTTGGAGGGTTACAGAATTTGTGCACAAGATAAGTAATGAAAGTAGAATGAGTGTATGTCAAGTTGTAGCAGGTAATTTGGTGACTGCATCTTCTAGAGTAAATCTTGTGCCTCATCTGGTCCCAAGGTGTTCTGCCTTTGGTATTCTTGTCCTTTAACATACTATTTGTATTTTTATTTTCATATGTTATATACCATTTTTGTAATGACAGTCTTGTCCCCACAGGATTACTACCCACATGTGATCACTAATGAGGGCATTCAGTTCTTAGAGAAAAATAGGGCCTTGGACCCCTCACCACCAATGTTAACTGTATTGAGTTATCCAGCACCCCATGGACCAGAGGACTCGGCCCCTGAGCATGCCCACCGCTTTTTCAACGCTACTGATCACAAGTGAGCTTGATCAGGTTTCACTTACTAAATATAGTAGTGTGATCTCTTTGATCAGGCTGTGCTCAGAATACTTTTGAGGTTTTGATCTGGCAAGAGATGAGTGGTGTATGCTGTTTTAGAATCTCAATGATTTATCCCATAATCTTTTGTGAAATCAAAGAAAATATGCCTTAAACTTAAAAAACAAAACAAATATCAGAAGGATCACTATCAACACATCTTGACTCTTCTGAGAATCTCAAAAGACTGCTTGAGACTGTACAAGAGAGACACGGCTGCCTCTGTCCTTGTCATGCTGTCTGACAAGTGTAGAAACAAAAACAGATACTGTAGACCATAAAATGGGTTGATACACAAATATATTATATACAGTACTTGTGTATAAACCGATCTCATATATAGTTCGACCCCTGATATTTTGTTAAAGAGTCTGAGTTTTTCATATACAGTACCTTTTGTACAATTCGATACATATTAGCATTTGACATATTTTGTAGCAAGACACCAGAATCACACCAACATGTCTTGGCCATGATCACCACCACAACAGCTGACACTATAAACAGTGTTACCAACTTTGAAACTTAATTCCTGTCAGTTACCAACTCCTATTTATAAATTTTGTTTGATTCACCCCTAAAAGTAGCATTAGTTTTCTAGGTACCTACTGGTATCACCTTGTACTGTACACAGCTCTCTTTGGTCTTTTACAAAACATTGTTCCATAGCAAGTGCAAGTGATGATACTGAGTGCAGTAGTGCAAAACAGAAAACAAAAAGGGCTTAAAGAAAATGTAAAAATTCCGATAAAGCTTGATAAGGGTCAGTCATTAAGTAAACTCATGAACCAGTATGGCTTAGGAACCATAACATGTACAACATGTACAAAAGAAAAACCCCTCGGTAAAGATAAATCAGCCAGCATGGATCAACCATTTACGAGTATGGCTATTCAAGCAGGAGTCACCGACATTGTTTTGCCTAAAAGATAATCATAGCTGCATAGGTCAGCCAGCTGATTTAGCCCTCTACACTTTCATCCTACTTGTATCTTTCAACATATCAGCTCCAAGTTAATTAACCTACAATATATGAATAAAGAAAGAGTACATAGACTAAACTGTTGCTCTTTTTTATGTAAAACATTAGAATAAATAAGGAAAAACTGGGCTATTTCGGTGCTTTAGTGTGTGGGAGAGAGAGTGGGTGACCGACATTTGTTCCTGAAATTTAGTAGATGTATCAAATTTCCCAAATTATAAATTTTTTGAAAGCCTCATGATCCCAGGCAGTTTAGACTTCTGACACTCAAGTGTACAATACTGTACTGCACATGCTGATGACAGTGATGATGTTTCATTCATTTAATTGGGAGATATTGACAAACAGAAGTCTTGTTGCTATAAAGAGTAGTATCTTCACACACGTTGGCAAAAGACAGGAATTTTTGTTGTTGTTATTGCTCCTTAATAAATTGTAAACTTTATTAGTGTTCCTTTTCTTACATACTAGATAAGTAATATACAGTACAACAGATGATTTCCAAGTTGCTCTTGTGTAGTAGATGATGACATGTGTTAGTGGTATATGACCAATGATACAAGTGTAGTGCTCTTAAGAAGGATTCTTCTCACAGTACGATGGCCTACAACTACGCTCCCAACCCAGACAAGCAATGGCTGCTGCAGTTCATTGGCCGCATGCATGACATTGAACTTAAGTTTACTGATCTGCTCATGACTAAGCGACTTCAAACACTTCAAACTGTGGATGAAGCAGTAGAGAAGGTGAGTACCAAAAGAAGTGTGCATTCATGGAGTGTTTGTGAAAATTAATGCATGAGTTGTAGAAAATGGTCATTATGTTTTAACATTTACTAGTACAGGGGGTCCCCAGGTTACGAACTGGTTCTGTTCTTGAGAACGTTCTTAAGTTGGATTTGTTCGTAAATCAGAACACATGCTGTGTGCATACCGTACTTACAGAACAATATCTAAAATCCCACTATATCATAGTCTAAGTCCTTTTATTCATCTAAAATCACTTAATTTAAGACAGAAGAAGAAATAGAATGACAAAATACAGTACAGTAAATGAAAGTAAAAAATAAGTCATCAGTTAAATAAAATACTGTAAATTTCAAGTTTAACCCCGTTCGTATCCGCGGGCGTTCGTAAGTCGGGGACCCCCTGTATTTTAAATTGGTTTTCTGTTTTAAGGAAAATCTGTTTTAACTTGCTGGTTGGTTTCATGGTTGGTTTCATGCATATTTATGTTGTTGACAGATAGGTTGATAAGTTTTGTGATTGACTATTTATAATGCTTTTGTTTACTGACACTAAACAAGAGATCTCCCATTGTGAAAGGTAATCAACACACTAGATGCTCTTGGCGAACTGAACAACACATACATCTTCTATACGAGCGACCATGGCTACCACCTGGGCCAGTTCGGACTTGTCAAAGGCAAATCTATGCCTTTTGAGTTTGACATTAAAGTTCCCTTCCTGGTGAGAGGTCCAGGCATTAGACCAGGAACACAGTAAGTACCTGCTGTTGGAAATATCTTCTGAATGGCTTTTATCAAATTTATTTGCAGTAAGTCTTAGATTGCAAACTCTTTAATATCTCAGTAGCAGTTACACCATCTGGATTATTGTATACAGGCATGGAAACCTTACCTTCAGAAAGACTTCGCATCCCTAGAAAAGTTACAACACAGAGTGACTAGGTTGAATACTGAACAATATAATTTTTATTTTCTAAGTAGACTGAGGGCCTTAGGACTAACTACACTTCAGACAAGACACAATAGGACAGATATCATAGAGGCATTCATAATCCTAAAAGGGATGTAAAATGTATACCCAGGTCATTTTTTTCATGATGTCATGCACCACCAACATGAGGAGATACAACGTGAAGTTTGCCAAGATATCATGCAGGACAAATACTGTACAGTAAAGGGAAATATACTTTTTTCAGCACAAAATTATTCCAATACATCCTGTCCCTTCAGTTTCCACACACCCCTTCATGGAACAAACAACTTCTTCCTTTCCCTGTTCCTTTTAATAATATTGGTGCAACATATCACACACACAAGCAATCTATGCTGCAAGGCACATTCTTCCCCTGTTATCACCTTTACATTTCAAACAATCAATGACATGCAAAGCTAACTGCTGAATGAGGTCCTTGCTCTGTCAAGCACTTTGAGCCTTCCTCATTTCCTCCCAATGTACAATACTGTACTGTATTCAGCTATATTAGGATGGAAAAATTAAATGGCCCATTTGAAACCTATGACTTGTCCCATGATCACCCAGTGTTGACCTTCTATCATTCTCTTGGTTACACATCCTCCAGCTTCTGACCCTTGGTATATTCTAAAATATGTCAATGTTGATTTGGTTGTTTTTAATATCCATCAGTGTGATATTGAGAGTGGAAGTGACAGCTTTCAGTGTTATAAAAAAAGGAATATTGTTATAACCAAAAATTTGATGCAGTAATGTATGTTACAGTATTTAATAACATTATTACTGTATTAATTTTTTACTTTGATATTTCAGAATTGATAAAATTGCTTTGAATGTTGACCTGGCACCCACATTCCTAGAAATTGCAGGGATTAAACCTCCACCTCACATGGACGGTCGCTCACTCCTCCCCTTGCTCACTGGCAGTGGCTCGGAGACTTTTCCTTGGAGAGATAACTTCTTGGTGGAAAGGTAAAATATATATTCTTCAATTCATTTTCCTTTGTTTTAGATGCTATAGAGAGACCTTTTCCCAGTTGAGAGTAAAGTATAGTCATCATTTATATTAAATCTATCTGCAGTGCAGGGCGTCACCGTGAGGAAGATGCACTTAAGTTACGTCAAGAGCGTAGGCAGCACCGGGCACAGGGTCACATTGGTACGGGATCAAAGGGTGGCCTTTACACTTCAAAGCGTGAACGACTGGAGATTATATGCCAGAGTGAGGAATACCGCTCACCCTGCAAGCCAGAGCAGAAGTGGGAGTGTGTACGTGATGAATACAGGTACCTGTACTGAACAAATTTGTTTCTGTGTTGTCATCAAATATGGTTTTATGATATGTTAGCAGGGATACTTTCTGGGACTTTACTGAATAACTTTGCTAAATTAGCATTGGTCTGAAATGACTTGTGTATATATTCATTGGGTCTAATTATAATGGGTTAAAAATGAATGTTCCTAGGACCGACCGCTTGTGATTGGAAATGTATAAAACTTCAATATAACTTGAAGTTTGGACTTATCTTATCAACACCTGATTCTGCAAATGGTGACACTTGGCATGGCAATTCACCATAGAGAAAAGAAGTTTAGAGTCTTACCATCACAAAAACTCCTTAATATATATTTGTTAGGTGCTGGACATTGATGAAGTTACTTACTTTAATACTGTCCACTTGGATATATGTTGTTACTTCAAAAAACTTGAATATAATCAGTTGAAAAATTTAATACTTCAGTACTTAATTTATTGCTTTCAATCTCAAAACTACAGTAGGTGGAGGCTCCATAAGTGCCGCAAGAGCAAGGTGGGGGGGCCTAGTAGGACAAAGTGGCGGCAGCGCAAGTGTGTGTGTGAGCCCGATCTAGGGATGGGCTACCTCGTCAAGCTAGACTCAGCAGAAAGACGAAAGCAGAGGACATTCCTGAAGAAACACACCACTCAAAGTTTGTGTAATTTATGCTGTAGAAAAGCCATTATCCATGGATACTCAGTTCACATATTGGAGTCATAATCTTTTAATTTCTTGGTCACATTGCTCAGGTATAAGCAAAGGGAGTGTAAAAATTAATGGTAAAGTATTTTCCGATACAACCTTAACACTCTTGGGTTTGGGTGGGCGCTCTCCAGCCAAACGCTCGGGGTCTGGCCTGTCACTTACCTCACTGCACTTGACCACACCACATGAGAGATAATTATATGTAATTTGTCATAGGAAGCTTGCTATTTCAGATAAAAGTTGAGATTTGCTGCATTTAGCATTGTAAATAAATTATCTACAAACCATTCTTTATGAGTAATGATAAAATAATTATTTCCATACGTAAGCACAAGTAGAACACAAAATTTTTGTTTACGCTTTATGAACCTTATTCCGATGCATAATGGTGATGTAGTTGTAACATGCAACTACAACCTATCTCATTATTCCTAGTAATTTCTTATCACCATTTTTCTTTGCATTTATGTGTAGTATCCTTTCATTTATTACATACAGATACCATTTAAAATCTTTTCACTTAATGCTTGTTTTGCACTCATGATGGGTGGTATAGGATCATACTGGCACATCATAAAAGAACAGCAAAGTTCAGTGAGTCATTATGATGTGCTTTTGGGGTGAATGGTCAATCGACATTAAACTGAGTACTACTGTAGTAGGGATGCAGAGAAACCTTGTCTAGGACCATTCAACTATTGATTGACCATAAACCGGTTGTTTTGCTTGTGAAAGGTATTCCTTAATTGGTGATATGTGTGAAATTGGAACATGAAAGTACTGTATCAGAATGTGCACTGAGAGTATTGTTGTGGATGTCTGGATCATTTTATGCTCATTTTTACCATTACTACTGAAAATATATGACTGTTTTACAAGGAGTCTCAAAGTATGATTGTGAGTGGAAATAGACTAGAATTTAAGATTTTTTTTTTATCCTAAAGCATATTATATTTTCTTTAAATAGATCTGAGAAATTATGGCACCAAGTTCATCAAAGTCTTCAGTGACGTGGACAGTAGGGAGATACTGGAGCAGAGTATTGGATTGCGAGTACAACGCAATTCACTATTTTCACACTCACGTAGAATCAGGTACAGTATAGTATTTCAAATTACAATGTCAATTGTAGCATTTGTTATATTTCATAAGTGTACTACAAATTTTGAAACATTGCTATATGGTAGTTATGGTAATTAAACAGAGCTCTGAAATAAGAATCTGGCAAGGGGATAATTGCAGAAATTCTGAAAGTATCAGGTGTTGTTGGTGTGACTGAATTGACTAATGTAATCGTGATGAAAAGTACTGTTCAAGATGACTGAAGGAAGAGTGTGATTGTGAATATTTGAGTGCAAGAATTACAGTACAAGGCCTAAAGCTGCTGAATCAGAAGATTAAAGTTGTAGAGAGTGATTAGGAAATTGATGAGGGAGAGAGTGGATATAACGATATGCAGTATGTACTATAAATATTTATGTCAGAGGCAATACATATGGTCAGGCAGCTACAAGGGAAATATCTAGAGCAGTTAAAGAGGATGACATAAGTAGACTTGAGTGAGCTGAGTAAGAATGGTGGAGTGGATGTGTAATGTGACACTGAAAGACAGGCAGAGGTAAGAGGGCAGCTGGGTATTGAAAGAGGCAGGCTGAGATGGTTTGGGCATGTGGAGAGATGGATGAGACTAATTGGGTCAAGAGGTGTATTAGCTTAAATGTGGAGGGGAGGAGAGAGAGGGACAGGCCAAGAATGACATGTGGAAAGATTAGTGGAGAGATTAAAAAAAATGACATTAGAGTTAAAAACCTGACAAAAAATACTGCAAGAGACTGTGCAGCACGGAGATCTGCCATTAGGTAATAGCTGCTAACCCACACAACATAAAATGTTGATGAAGGTGGACAGAATCATTGCTGGGGACTGTGTCAATGCCATTTTCCACACTTGCATGGGTTAGCCTGGATTACCAGATGGTATGAATTCATGGTTGCCATAAGGTAAGTCTGATATAAGTTTTGTAGCTGGATGCCATACCTATCTCCAACCCACTTTTAGAGTGGGAACTGGTCTTTATATGTAGGACTTCATTACTGTTCACCTGTGATTGTAACGACATTATTTATATCACGTACAGTACAGTATTTATTTTGTAAAAAATGTAACATTATGTTGTGCTTAATTTTAGATCCAGAAGGAGCACCAATTTAGACTTGCCTCTGGAAGACAGCAACCCAGTATATGAAGAAGATATTGATGAAGACAACGTTGACACCTTTGTTACTGAGGAAGAGATAAGGGACCTTGACGTGACTATTAACACCTTATCAGATGAACTAGAGAATTTAGAGGTGAGAAAAATTTCTTACAAGTCACTGTATCTGTTTATTTTTATGTGTACTCTTATGGACATGTTAGTGTGCTGTGTGAAGTGCAGTGTAACTGACAAAGTGAAATATATTCATGCTAGACTTGTATGCTGTTCTATGGATGAGAAGGATTTTAATTTGTTTAGTTGTGTGATAAGAGGTGGATATAAGATACTGTAATTACTGTATGCCCATATGTTTAAATAGCTGTCATTTGTAGGTGAGTGATAATGTAGTTGGACTCAAAGGAACTATATAGTAATTATAGTAATAGGAAAATGTCATAAATTATGTCAGTTTCGTTTATTCTTTTTTAAGTTGTACATGTTTAATAAGGCAGTCCTCATTCTATTCAAATCTGACCTCCTATCACTGTGGCTGTCTCTCAAGAAGAAAGACACCCACATAAAGATTTCTTTGGGGGAACATTTGGATCATTCTTGTTATTCTTTTTAAATTTTTATTTTATTTTAAAACAAAGATTTTTGTTAACTTTTTTTAATGAAATGGAGGAAAACAATTGAGAAAAAAGATAGGCTGGTAGTCTTTCATTATTTCAGAGAGTTGCGACCCAGCCTTGCCAGCTGTTTCCATTCTGTGGGTTAGCGTTAGGAAGGATATCCAGCTATATAACTTTTGTTTCAACATACGTACCTGCTGGCAACAGGTCACCAGAGCTGTGCCCTTCCCCTGGTCTCTGCTACGTTTTCTAGGCTGGCACCCTGAGTTTGCAGTGGTGAGGACATCCCATTCTGGTTTTACCCAACAGCTGTTATCAGGTAATTGCGATAACCCACACAAGTGTGGAAAGTGATCGTAAAACGTTGACAGTGTTGATGATGATGATACAGTGTAGGAATATGGTTGGTCATAATAGGGGGAAAAGTGAATAAAAAGGGGATGTGAATGAGGAGTTATGTGACCGCCATGTTTTTGTCCACAGTGGACTGAGGTTGTCTTTGATAGGGCACATAGGCAAAGAATTAAACACAGCTGTTGAACAAGATAATTACGATTTTGTAAGATGAGTTTTGACTGATTATAATAGTTTTAATTGCAGAGTGTGAGCAGCACTGCAGCGACCTCTGTGGCTGGTGGAAACATGTCTGTTCTGGCTACTTCCCCAACTAGTGAGTTTTAAGAATTCTCTGTGTGTCAGTGATAAAAATATTAAAGATTTAAAGGGAGTGCAGAAGGTTTGCAGACATAGAAACTGAGAAAGGGAGATTTTGAACAAGGGAGAGAAAGATAAAAAGAGAAGCAGAAAAAAGAAAGAAGATGAGAAAGTAAGAGAGAGATTGAACAGATAGAAGGGTTATATATATATATATATATATATATATATATATATATATATATATATATATATATATATATATATATATATATATATATATATATATATATATATATATATATATATATATATATATATACTCGTAGTTCCTTGTGGCAGTGCTACAATCCATCACTTTAAACATAGCCCAGTTGTCATTACTGAGTGGAATTCATAATTCATAAAAAAAAAATTCTTTAAGGTTATAACAAATATCAAATTACAAACATTAATAAAGCTGCTTGAGTGTGGAGTAGGTGTGTACACCAAATCTTACCATGATCACTTCAGTCATCCTCAGGTCACGTATGAAATAGTGTCTAAAGAACTACGTATTGGAATACTCATATGACATTCTCCAAAAAAAAAAATATATTTATTTTTTTTAGATGCGACTCCAGCAGATGTTCGTCATGGATGCAGAGTTACAGGCACTTCTGTTGGTTGCACTGATGATGTTTACCGTGACCCTCATGCTTGGAAACTGAGCAAAGTTGCTATCAATCAGCAGATCCGTCGGCTTCGCCACCAGCTCACTGTTATGAAGGTGTGTTCCAACATTATAGCTGAGGATCAGAAATTTTTTGTGATTAATTTTATTATGCAAAACAACATACATACACATACACACATACATACATACTGTACATAGTGTGTGTGTGTTTTATATGTTTTGTAATGTACATGTCTATAAACTATATATAACACAAGGGTGTGTTAAATTTAATATTATTGGGGTGTTGTCAGTATAGTTTCAGTATATTGTAGAATCTCTTGATTAACTTGATGCTGTATTTATATCAACATATATAGTATCTATAAGTGGCACATTTACTCCGATATTAAATTTTCAATTAGCTTTAGAAGTCTTAAGAAATAATTTACACACAGTTCCAGGTAGATATCAGTAACACAGTTGAAACTTTTTTTTTTTATCCCAGCCTCCATTAATTTGCTGAAATTCCTTTTTACATTTTCTAGAACATCAAAAAACATCTTCAGGATTCCCGACCAGATTCTGTGGCAGAATCAGAGGACTATGAAGAATATGATGAAACTGAATCATCTGGTGACTTTAATATGATAATGGGGGAAAGTGACTTATTGGAACCAAATGATGAAGATGGCACATCAACAACTGAAGGCTCTGACAGTTTTCAAGACCTCTATGGCACCCAGGACACAAATAACGGCTATGATGATAGTATGTTTAATTCAAGTGAACACGACAGTGCAGACTATGAAGTAGGACACAGTGGTGATGATGATGATGAAGATGGACCCCAGGGAGGAGAGGACAGTGATGATGAGGGGGTCATTATTATAGGAAATGATTATGATGTTGGTGAGTGTTTTTCTCTTTTATTTAGTACTCTTTCCATGTACATGTAAGATCAGGTGTCTGTAACCTTATAGAAACATTCTTTATATATATATGGTACTGAGTGGTTTCAGCATATGCCTTCTGTCCCAAGGGTTACTGGTTCACACCCAGGGCTCCCCTAGTTCCCACAGCTGTGAATGGCTACCTAACTTTACAGTAGGAAGTAAAGGCAGTTAGTGAAATGGTAGCCTCGCTGCCTCCATGTATACAAAAGGCTTAGTATGCAGAGTGCTGTATCTACAGTATCAGGTCATCAGGCCCTTAGAACCCACATTTAATATATAGCAAACTACAGCTTTGCGGTCACTCGAGGCAGTTGAAACACACTAAGTTTGGAAACATTTGGCATGTTTAGTCATCAAGCAAGTGGGATTTGTTGGAAATGAAAAAGGGACATATTTTATTACACAGGAGGTGAGGTACACCAGCATGGGCACCACGACGATGTTGACGGAAATGAGGAAGACCGAACGCTCTTGGAGGACTCTCAGCCCGAGTTACCACATATTTTAAAAATTCCTGGGAAAAATGGTCAACAAGGTAGCAAACAATTCCAACTATTTCCTGTTCGGGAGTCAAGCTCACACCAGCGTCCTCCAACCATCATCAATGAAACTTCAGCAAGAGCAAGATGTTGGTGTGATAAAAGGTATGCAATATATAGTTACTGTATTTGTCTCTGTTATTCAGTACATCTATAAGATGTACTAATTAATTGAGGATTAATCCTGCATCTGTGAGTACCTCAGCATCCCTCCATAATCCCTTTAAAATTTTGAGGTGAGCTGGATCTGGAGGGTTGTTCTTGACATTGGTGTTTTATAGCCATACTCAACAAACAAATGAATGAATCAAAGCACCTCTCTTTGCTTGGCAACAAACCACTCACATTTTTCCAAATTTAATATTCCTTCTAACTTAATGGCTATCCTTCAAGTGCCTGGGGTAAGATATGGGATTCAAGGCTGTCCTGGTTATCTAGAATTCTGACTTAACTGTAACCCCTCCCCCCCCTGGTGATTTTAACCATCATTTTGTTGAAAATTTCTTTCCAGAAACAATATTAAAGTTAACAGTACACATTTATACAGCACTTGTGGTACTTTTATTGTAGCATACAAATCTTGAAATGGACGATGATGGAAATCTGCTTACACTTATAATACCTATATTCACACTTGTATTTAATTACACTTTATATTTAGTTACACTTATATTTAATTACACTTACAGTATTATCCAGTATGTACTGACATCTGGATGATATAAAAAGTACTCCATTTCAGCCCAAACATCTCACAGATCATGTTCATGGAGTTACCAGCATCAGTTTTGTCACATACCTGCAGTTTCTCTTTAATTAGCAGAGTTTTAAGTGCCATTCCTTTTCGCCCAGTGGTCCTCAGAGGTATTGTTTTGCCTTTGCTTGTTTTAGATACCGTAATAATTCACTAGGGAAGCACTGATTATGAAGAAAACACAAGAGATGTGATGGTGCAGTGATGTGACAATAGACGCAGTAACTGATGCCTTATCAAGCTGCCATCTTGCGTGGCAGCTTGATAAGGTGGACTTATGGAAATCCGACTTAGAAGGGTCTTCCATTTTAGATCACAGTCACAAAAGTCAAGACCCTGGGGTTTTAACCTGTAAACTTGGTGGCTATACAGAGTTTTCAACTTTAATATGAGATGGAATTTCAGGATTAATCTGCTGTGTTTCTCAAGTGGCAACTTATTGATATTATTGAAAGTAGCTTGTTTGAATGCAAGGTACAGTAATAGTGTTCATAATTAAAGAGAGATGGAGGAATTGGATTTTTTCAGATATCTGGGAGATATGTTTTACAAAAGAAATTATTAAATGGAGAGAGAGAGAGAGAGAGAGCACTATGTCAGAGGCTAAAATGTGGATGTACTGTATAGGAAAATTGTTGGGCCAACTTCATTTTATGGGTGTGAAGTATGTATTTTGGTGGATGCAAGAGGAAGGACCATATTACAAGCAACAAAAGTGAAGTGCTGGGGAATAATGTAGTACAGAACAAGAAATAAATACAGAAATAAGTAGGCAATATAGAAATGAAAAAAGTGTTCGGCAGAGAGCAGATAATGGTCTCGTGAGGTAGTGTGGGCAATTTGAGAAAATAATAAGTGAAAAATTGATGTTTCATTGGGTGATAAGTAAGAGGGAGAGGGGACTTCCAAAAAGGAGATGGATTGATGGAGTGAGGTCGGCATTAAAAGTGGAGGGGAATGGACATTCAGGCACCAGCAGTTGTGTGAATTATTATAAAGCATGACAGTAAGTGTTTATTGAGAAAGGACTTAGTGCTGATGGGTGATGCTGGTGTGTATAAGGTGATGGGTAAACCAGATGTGGAGCATTGTTTTGAAAGGGGAGTATCAAAGCATTTTTTTTTTTTTTTACAGCAGTATGAATGAATTGGAATCACAGTGAATAAAGGGTAAATATTTTTGTGCCATTGCTCTTTCTTCCAACTGTACTCTTCATTCAGTGGAGAAAAGCTTGAAGGAGTAAAAAATTACTAAAAGATGAATATTTATTACCCTCAAAAATCACATTTCAGCTTCAGATTACAAATTAAGCAAGCAGAGCGACAGAAGAAGAGAGAGGAGCGACTCAGGTTGCGATTGGAGCGGCAGCGGGTGAAACAAGAACGTAGACAGCAAAAGGAAAAGAAGAAGTTGAGGAAGTTGAAAAACAATCTGGCACAGTGTAACTACACAATGCTCAATTGCTACACTCATGACAATGACCACTGGCGTACACCTCCACTTTGGCACGGTGAGTTTCCTAATTGCAACTGATGATGTATGGAACAACTCACACATTATTTTTTTTTTTTTTTTTTATGGGGATTAGGCCACCCGGACACAGGTCACTGACCCACATCGGGGCCTGGGGAGCGAAAATGTAATAATTATTCATAGAAAATAAAATTTATAATAAAAAGTAAAATAAAATAATAATGATAACAATAATAATAATAACAATGTAATAATAATAATAATAATAAAGAACTACATGTTGTCAAGTAAGAGAAACAATTAAGACCCTGCAATTGTGTGTAAATGAGGCAGAAAGACAGATCAGCAACCTGGGACTTCGTCACAATTTTTGTGATGCCATATGGCAGCAGGGTCTATCATTAGACAATACATTATGCTTCCAATATCTTCCCAGGCAGAAGTACCTCCCTGTTTGTTAATGTTCCTTTTCAGACTTTTACATCATTGACCTCCTCTTGGAATGACAGATTGGTGCCACCGTCTTGTTTGTTTAAGGATGAAGTTTATGCTAACCTGGGCTGAACACCCAGGTGTAATATTAAAGGGTAGACGGGTAATCTGTGATTACCTCAGGGAATTGCAATCCTGTCTTGCCAGTAAAGAGGGCACTTGGAATTCCTACATGTAAAACCCACTTCCCACTCTGTAAAAGTGGATTGGCATCCAGCTGTAAACCATACTTCAAATTTGCCTGATGGCAACCAGGATACCATGACATAGGGAATCATGGCTAACCCCCTCAAGTGTGGGAAATGACCATAGAATGATGATGATGATTATTATGAAAAGTTACCAATTGCTTTTATTTTCACCACTCAGATGGAAAGTTCTGTTTCTGCATGAATGCTGCCAACAATACGTACTGGTGTGTGCGCACCATCAATGAGACCCACAACTTCCTCTACTGTGAGTTTGTCACTGGTCTCGTCACTTACTATGACCTCAATATTGGTAAGTTAAAATTTGCTCGATATATTGATACTGTAGTATTTTATATGAGGGCTGAGTGGCCAGTTATGCAGTGGGTGATTCAGGAGATCTTCTAACATAAATAAGAAAATTAAATGTAATTAGTTTTTAAGTACAGTACTGCATTAAGACAACGGTAAGGCAGGTCAGCTTATAGTTATCACTGACCTTTACAGATTTTTTGCTGGTGAATCTTTTCTTTGTAGCTGGATTTTTCTTGTGATATATATATATATATATATATACCTGTACAGTATATATATTTTTGAGATTTTAGTACACATAAAATTAACACAAGTGATGTGAGCTGGTGAAAATGTTCTCTAATTAACTAAATCATTCAGTCAGTCAGGGGCTTTACTCACAAAGCTGGCTTTTGGAACTAATGAGCATCCAGTGTCCCAGCATTACTTGTACTCTCCAACTCACAGATCCATATCAGCTCCGAAATGTGGCATTCACACTCACCAATAAACGGCTGGCAGAGCTTCATCATCGTCTGGAAACTTTACGGACGTGTTCTGGGGCTGTCCAGTGTGATGATCTACCACACTCACAGGTTTGTCGTCATCTCTCATATTTGCTGTGTCATTCATCAGAATAAGTATATGTAAAAACTCTCATGATTCTTGTATCTAATAAGAAAATGGAATTGCTCCACCTGTAGCAGCATGACATAATTCCAGTTGCATGGGCAAAAAAATTTAATTCAAGAGACATAACCCTGAAAATATAAAAACATGAATCAACACTGCCACCCAAAATTTCCTGGAGTTTAATTTCACCATCAGCTGATGTTTAAGCTCTTGTCACAGATATTGTATGATAGTGTAAAAATTGGTCTTGGAAAGGTTGTGTACAGAAACAATGAAGTAAAAAGCATTTTTTTTAGGTAAAAGTCTACTTGATTACAAGTAAAAGTACAGTACTGTAATCAACTTTTTTACTGTAATCGATTACAGATGATGCTAAGCCGTGTATGTATAAGTGAATCAAGACCATGTACAGAAAATTAGTCACAATTACCTGACTGTCCAAAGTGAAACTTTGCATAAAAAAAAAAAAAAAAAAAAAAATTAAGGTTGTCTGTATTGACATTTTTAAATAAAATCAATTTGGTGTGGGTCCTATTCCAAAACTTTATTCTTAACATTGAAAATCTGATTTAGATGTTCAACAGCTTCATTCTAACTGCAGATCACGATCAAAATCTTAAAGGAATCAAGTACTTACCGGGTACCCCAAAAATATGAATTAAATTATTTAAAGTCATTACCTGTAACAGTAATTAATTTCATAATCATGAAGCCAGATCCTTAATCAGCATGTTTTGAATTACTGTATTGAAATTGGAAACACTGTCATGCAACTGGAAATTAAAATTAAAGGATGAGTAAAATTGGAGAAATTATTTTAAGGGTACTGTAGATCATTAATGAGCATGTGAAGGAGTGCAGTAACAAAGAAATATTAAACATAAAATGTACCTTTTAGTATAATCTTTTTGGCTGAATTGTTATATTTCTTATCTTTCTAGGTTAACAGAAACAGCAGGAAGTATAATGAACAAGATGAAATTTATAGTGAAACAGATGAGTTAAGTAACAGAGTTAATATTTTAGTTGATTCACAACCTAATAAAAATCAAATTCATCAACGAGAAGAACGTCGTAGACTCCGTGAAGACCGGTTCAGACAGCGGGAAGAGCGACGCAGAATACGTAAAGAAGAAAAAAAATGGAGACGTAAGTTATTTTTGGTACTGAAGTTAATCTTTTTGCAGCTCTTAAATAATGCCTACTACCATTGTAGTAATAAAGTACTGTAGATTTTTAGCAGAAATAATTTGAAGCCTATAAGCACTACTACAATGTATATCTTTACTTGACCATTAAAAACTTAGAATTAAATTTATAAAGTCTTCTCCTGTAAAAAGCCACTCAGGTTCAGTTTGCCTCGTGTGTACATTCCTTTGACTTAATTTTTACCAGCAACTTTTAACAATTATTAGAATTGAATTTGGAATAATGAAACAATATAGCTTATATGATTACTAGTCCACCTAAAAAATCTATATTATGCAAGTAAACTGGGTACATGATTGATCCTCTAGACTAGCAGAAGAGTTAAAGATGGGCTTTAGTACTGACCAAAGATCTGTTCTTTGAGAACTTTTTGGTGATTAGGTGTTGTTATTGGAGTAATCACCTATATTATGGATTACATAATATAGATCAGGTTTGAACATGAGTGAAATTGCAATCTGAATGGTGTATTAAGGGTAGACTGTAATATGTGATGTAAGTATGGTTTGAGGAGCAGCACTGTTTTGGTAGTGGTTCTCTATCATACTATTTATGAACTGGCCTTCAAAGTGAGTTATTCATGTCAGAGATAATTAGAAACACTGTTGTAATCTTTTAATGAAAATAAACATATTTTTCTGGCAATTAATTATATGAACTTATTTTTCAGGAAACCAGTTATATGAATCTAAAGGTAGACACATTCTAGGCACAGTAGGTTCAGAGAGGCGTGTTGTGCGCCTGCCAAGGAAGAGTCGTGTTCAGGAAAGAAAACGGCTAAAAAAGGAAAGAAGAAGGGAGAAGCGTAGAGAACGTAAAAGGAGGAAGAAATCTAAGAATGACAGGATGCCATTAAGTGGATAGCCAATATTAGGCCACCTAATGTATTCCAAATAACCATCTCAAGGTGGCAGTGGCCATAGTAATTTTACATTTGTAAGTATTTCAAATGTCCTTCTCTGACACAAATTATTTGCAACAACGAATTCTAGTAGATTAGAATGATTTAGTATTTGTATATTGTAGAAACTTTTAGCTCCCAATTCTAGCAAGTCAATTTGAGGTAAATAATTACCTTTATATTTGTGTCTCTGGAACACCACATGTCAGTTGTTAAGACTTGTGATACCCCATCAAAAAGATACAATCTTGATCTAGGAAGGACTATGAGGATGTCACTATTTCTGGTGTACATAGAGCTAGTCACTGTCATGATACGGCCCCATACTAGCTCATCTTGTTGCTAGAATTGTCAAAGCTAGTCATTGTTATGCCAAGGCCCCATGACTAGCTAACCTTCTTGCCTAACAGTTGTCACTGGGAGATAACATTAAGAAACTTGCATTTGTTTTATATACAAGCACTCACAACTTTTAGCAGTTTTGTTGTTGGGGTAATCTGGAAATTATTTTTTTAACTTGATTTGCATATAAGGTTACTAAAGCTTTAGATACATTTGATGTGCTGACTGTGAGACATCAGATTAAGTGCACATTGTGAACCTCTTTATAAACCATATTTTAGTATGTACTGTACTTGGATATTGTGTGCTAGTTTGCAAAGTATATGCCCAGTAATATTGATGATAGTATGAATGATAAAAGGAACAGTTATAATCATTGACAATAATGGTGATAGTACAGTATAAATAAAGAATAGTTCAAACTTCAGAACATGTTCACTTTTACAGTACAGTATTGTGTAACAGTAAAGTTCATCAAAACATGAGGCTCATTTGAATTATTTTAAATGATCTGACTCAGTGTAGTACTTGCTTAATATACTCATGTGATGTGTTCATAGCATTTATACAGTATGTGTGTCCAGAGTATAGTTGGCCTGAGACAACAATTAATTATGTGTACAGTATATGTGTTGGAATGAGACAACAATTATTTGTTTATGTGCTGGTTGAACATGACAACAAATATTTTAATGTTTATGTGCTAGTTGGACTTAGAAGACTTATTTCTTGTTTATTTAATACTTGGTAGGACCAAAGATGATATAACATTAAGTTGGGTCACACATTATTGCTCAGTACAACTTCTAGTATTGCTACTCTGTGTCCAATGTATAAATGACATCAAGTACTTTATCATATGTAGCAGCACGACTGACCTGCACAATTTAGTATCAAAATATATTGCTACATAATTAGATGAAGTTCTGGACACAGGCCTTCTTCCAAAAGAGACACAAGTAATTGTCACTGTTAGCCAATTACAGTACAGTATGTGTAAGAATCAATTATTCTTGATTCCTCCAAAAAGTGTCCTAAATGTTGTTTTTTGTTTTTTCAAAGGAGAGGGGTTAGAATGTCAGTGGCACACTTGCCTCTTACTGCTATGATATGGATTAAATCCCAGGTCAGATGTGACAAGGGTGTCATATGTAACCTTACTGAACATTACAGGCTTTCTCCAGGTAATCTAGTTTCCTTCTTACAAACACAGCACCAATAAAGGACAAACTCACCAGGAACAATTGAGGGATTAAACTAGCCACTGGCTCCTCCCATTAGAAAGGTAAATTACCATTCTGGAGCAAGGATGACACATTGAATCTTCCATAATACTAATGGTAGCATACTAAAAATCCTTTTTAGGTCTATCAATCCCTGGTTTGGTTTAAACCATGCTCCAACCTTCCAAGCATGAGTACAGTATAAAGTAAGATAATTAAATTTTTTTTATTTTATATAATGAAATGTTGAAGGTTTTATATGTTTAACCCTTATCCCCCAGGCATATCCCCACCCCCCCTCATGTGGGCATGTGGATGTTTTTCTCCATGCACAATTCCATGATAATAACATGCAGTGATGATCAGGGAACAACTTCCCTACCTCTATCACCCTCTGAATTGTGAGACGGAGAAGTTCTGTTCACATGTCCACTCTGTGACTTAGAACAAAGGTTGGGAACACCATACAATTTAATAAATGTCATGGCGGAAATCGCCTACGTTACTGTTAATAGATATGGACTGCAGTTTAAGGGTTAAGATAATGATAGTGACAATCCACAAGCTCTCTTTGTAATGGTCATATTACCATTATATTTACTATTTGGTGACTATAATATTATGTAACAATCATATACCCTGTTCAAACAGATACTTGCAAAACAACCGTATTACACCAAAAATTGTCGGAAATCTAAAATTAATATAAAGATTAACTCACAGCTTACTGCACCTGGGTGCTGTTTTGCTTTATTAATATAAATGGTACATTATCAAGATTTTTTGTTATTTTAGCACAGATTGCATTCAGTGATAATATTTTGAAATATCTATGAGGACATAACATCCAAAACATGTGTAATTTTCTTTTCTTTTTTTCCTGAAGGAAATTGTCATGATCAGTAGAGATTTAACACTTGATAAAAATGTATCTGGCGGAATTATTTTAAATGTATCATTGTAAATAACCGGCGTACTGTACAAGAATTTTCCATCACAAAATGATCCACAATATATTGGAAAAGAGCCATGTCATGGAATATGGAGAATGTATCTTTTTTTTTATACATACCATAGGAAAAAAGCATGCATGTCACATGTGGATCTGTCAAAATACACCAAAACTGGGGAATGAAAAGGCCTAAGTAACAATTTTATTTTTATTATCTCAATATAAGTCATACATTAAGAACATTTTCTTTAATTCATTTGCAAGGCATTCTTCAAGTACAGAATCTTGTTAGCATAGGTTGACTTCCAGACAAGGAAAACTATCCATATTAAGTGAGTGTGGTAAATATTTTGACGTTTGCCAGTTTACCACCACAATTGTGCAAATTATTTGACATTGATCACATGACATATTGTTATATCATCTTTGATTTGACAGTTGATTGTTATGAAATAACTGTTAGATTAGTTAGCTGAATGATTCATTCAAAAGTTTTATTATTCACATTTCATTCATACTTATCAGTAGAAACAAATTTTATTTTTAGTTGATATAATTCACATCACCCACCTGTGCTTTCATGCCACAATGTAACCCTTCATCATGCAGTAGCCGCAGACAATTACCACAAATTTACATTTGTTTGTCCATCTTTATAAGTGCTGAGATGCCATTTCCTATTAATACAAGAGATTACTAATGCAAAATCTTTGCCAAACACTAACCATCACAACTTTGGTGGAATGCAGTGGTCAAGGGTTATTTTTATTTCATACATCAACTTTGGCGTTGTAGTGAAAACAAGTTGTTGGAACTGTTGACTTTTCACAGCAGTATTGTATTGAGAAAAGGTTTTAATGACCCCAAATATTTTTTTATATATTTATGTGCCATGTCTTTATTGCTTTATTTTAGAAAGCTATAAGAAAGGGATTAATGTATGTGCTAGTGTTTTTTGTGATTTTTATTGCTCTCTAATTTTGTGATCAGATGGTGTTTCAAAGGTACCTCAACATTTGTAAATACTTGTATTTACAAGCAGAATAATATTAATTAAAGAGTAAATGGTCTTATTGCAGGAAGAGGCAATTGTTAAGTATTAAGAGAATTTCTAGTATGTTTCAATGTTTTATAATGAATGAGAATAACTTGGACAATAAAAATCAGCAAATTACTGTACTATAATGTTTCTCCTCAGTGAAGTGGTGGCATCTTGTAGGTTGTGACACTTAATAGGAGTGATGACATTAGTTTGCATCCATGTGTTTCATGTACGAATCTATCAAGTGTCTATATGAATATCAAATGTTCCCAGGGTATAATGTCTAATTCAAGCCCACTCCCCAAAGTAAATGGACTGGTGAGAGGGAAAAAAAATCCACACTGATATATGACCACCAATCATTTAGTAAATAAGCTCACAAACATCATCATCAAGTGTTCATTTTTTATGCTATTTTTTTCTGGGTATTGCATGTCATTATTACCAAGCTTGGCAGTACCATATAGTCATACAGTCATATCTCTATTTGATGCCCCTTAGAACACTATCATTATTCAAAAGTTGTGCTGGCACTACATAAATCGATGCCTACCTACATTAGTTTCAAGCTTGTTCCACCTTTATGCGCTTATTCCGCTGTGTTCAATACCATTTTTTTTGTCGTAATTCACATTTTATGTAAAATCTGGAACCCATAATTATGTCTGAAAAAAGCCTACAAGTGAAAGGGCTGGTGCTGTGGCCAAGCATCACCATGGATGTAAAACAGCAAGTGATAAGGTGTGTGGAGGTAGGTGAACATCATGTTGATATTGGTCAAGCTTGAAATGAGCTACATCTACAATTAGGTCCATTCTCAAGAACAAGGACAACCACTTCATTAACTGCCATACTAAGATACTGAATATGTACGAGGAGCATTTTACTGGATAAAATGGAAAACACTAGAGAACTGTAAGTGGATTGAATATCACAATGTCATGTACCCTTAAGCCAACTGATCATCAGGGCTAGACATATCTTCACATACCTACAGGAACATGAAGGCAAGGAATTGTCAACAGACACATTACAGGCAAGTTGTGGATGATTCGAGAATTTCAATCGCTGCACTAACTTGTACAGCATGCACATTTCCGATGAGGCTGCAAGTTCTGAGAGACAGTGCACAATTTCCCAAACACGCTCAAGGTTATTATTGACTGTGGCATCTACCCTCCTGAACTTGTGTTCAACATATAGGTCTATTTTTGGAAACATATGCCATGACACATTCATTTTCTCATGAAGAAAAGCATGCATTGGGATTCAAGCCCATCAAAGATTGCCCAAGGCTCCTACTGGGTGCTGATGCTGCAGGTGATTTCAAGCTAAACCTGATGTTTGTCAACCACTCTGAGACACCCCAAGCAATGAAGGACTTCTTATATGAGCATCTTTCTGTCTTTTGAAAGTGAAACAGGAAGGCATGGGTTACAGCCAACATATTTCATGGTTGTGTCAAGTTTGTCCTGCAGTTAAGTGGTATTGTGAGGGAAAAAACAAACATGGAGCTAGAGAACTGTTGCTACTTGACATCGCCCCAGGTAACCCAGAAAACCTTTTGACACTGCGCTCTTCAGTGTTAGTAGAAATGGTCTTCCTTCCACTCAACACTTATTGCATTCTGCAGCCAATGGACCAGGGCGCCTTAGCTGGCACCAAAGCTTATTATCTGAAGTACACATTCAAGCAGCTGGTGGACTTCAAGAATGGTCCAAATCAGTCAACCAGGGATATTTGGAAGTCTAAGAACATAATGAAGGCAATTAATGTGAACATCAGTGCTTTGTGAAAGGAAGTCACCAGCAGTTACATGAACAGTGTGTGGGTCAGTGTGGCCAGAGGCATGTTGCGACTTCCGTAGTGAAGAGGTTATGAACAACTTTCAGTAATTAGACATATTGATGACCTTCAATCAATGACCCTTGAGTGGTCTCAAGGGTCATTAACCACTTTAATTACCAAATTCGGCTGTGTGGGGGAGGTGAGGAGGGGGTTCCACCAAGCCTAACAAGAACCTACAATAACATATGTTAAGGAAAACCCTTCTTGATCTGGAAATCTGAGAAATACTGTATACAGTACACCATTGGTCAATAAACTAAAATATTTTACTACACAAGGTATTGGGCACTTGCCACACTCGCTTTCTTCACGATGTGACACCCACTCACTCTTCGGAGCCATCCCCATAAACCAGATAATAGGGATATTTAAAAAGGTCAATCATAAAGGTGCTTTATTTTTTTCAAATCAACAGCAAATATGAAGTTACATATGTAAAATGTGCAATGAAGGTTTCAAAATTACTGCAACAATGATATGAAGATTTACAGAAACCTTCCATATTTAATCAAACTACAGTTAAATGTCAACCCCAAAATTCCTTTGAATTTAAAACAGCTGAATTTATTACAAAATTTAGTAAAAGATGGCAAAATAGACGACTTCCATAGAGGGGAGGACTAAAGCCAGCAAAAATAAATCAATAAGGTGCTGTGAAAAGGCTGACATTTAACTGCCAAAATAATCCTGACCATAATGAAGCCAACAACTAAGGGTAAAGAATGGGCGGAAACAAATGTTTGTTGTGGCAGTATCTGGATTCTACACAGCTGTTGCTTTTAATTGTCTGCAGAAGTTCCAGATCTTAACCGGGAGGCCAGCCCATCTGCCTTCCCCCCATAACATGAAGATGGAGGTGGTAAACGCTCTGGGCTCCTTCCTTGCCATTGTTCACCACCAATCGGAATCCTTGGTCCAGTCCTTGCTCTTTGGCCACCTTCTGTGCTACCATCATCAAATGACCTAATAGCTGAATACATCATAAATATCAGTGAAGGATATCCTTAAATCATTGATCGATTGATTTTATTGGGAATTCATCCCATGTACAATATAACTCAATACGAGGAAAAACATATCAAAGTGCACACAACAGAATTCCAGAGGATAACATGAAAAGTCAAACGATTTACTTCCACTGTGGTCTGATCTATAAATATTACTGAGTACAGGGTATCCCCTTTTATTAACAGGTTTGTCTTAATTTCACACATTACCTGCTCATCAGAATCCTCAACATCAGACAGCATGGCCACGTGCTTGCGAGGAATCACCAAGAAGTGGACAGGTGCTTGTGGCGCCACATCTTTGAATGCAACACACTGACAAACAAACATGACTTAGAATGCTAAATATTATTGGTGTAATATTATACATGGTTATTGACATGATCAGTAATACGAAGTTTTCTTTTCTATGTATACTTAGGTGCAATAGGTAACACAAAATTCTCTTGTGTCAATGCAAACATTTCTGAAAATATCAGAGGCAAAAAAAAAAAAAACTCGAAAGAATTAAACTCAACATGTCACTATTACAGATCAGCGCCATGACCTTGTCTATTTAAAGCAACTGGGCTTCCCAAACCTGAACCAGACTACAATAACAATGACCAAATAAAGATGACACTATAATACTGTGCATTAGTTCATTTTCTCTGAAGACAAACGAGCTAATGCAATGCTGAATATGGAGTGGTCTTGAAAGTAGGCCAGTCAGAATGAGATGTTCAACATCAAATTATTCAGTGCATAGAACTCTAAACTGTATTGATTTGTACAGTACAGTATATACAGAGATAGAACAAATAATAAATAGGAATATTTTATTATGTTTCTGCCAGAAATATATAATTTTCTATTTTTTTTACTTTGATTTCACAAATAAAAAATGCAAACTTGATCACACTGAGTGGGGTAAAAACATGAGGGAAAAAAAAGACAAAACCTCACTTAAAATATTACAGAAATCTTTAAATGGTGTAGCATTTAAGAATGGGTGCCTGGGCTAAGGAGCAGAGTTGTTAATTTTCAGTAAAAATTAATATTAACAGGGCAACCTAACTACTCTTGCCATAGAAGAAAATCGATTCCAAATTAAAAAATAATCTTGGTGATAATGGTAAAAACTCCAAAATACTTATTAGGATAAAAACGAATATTAACCAGCTTTTCAATGGAAGAAAAGGTCTTTGATTTATCAAAGAACAGTACTGTGAGCTCATTTAAGGACAAACTTTATCAACATTGGTGCAGGTTCTGGTACATTCTAGAACCCTATATCCTGTCACTAGTGTCTAACAGAAATGACCTACCGCTCAACAGGCTAAAAACCCAACCGATAACAAAGTGGCTAAGGTAAGATAATATTCAACATAACGTAACATCACGGTACAGCAGTCAATCACCGCCCTACTCTCAACTCCTGAAGCGTGGTGGGTTTTGTCACACGTCAAACAGTACCAACAGTTATCACTTAACCTTTAAGGAACACCAATATATCACATAAAATACAATGAATTTATTAACAACTGACCACGACCATTAAACATCTAGAAATCCATAGAATGTCCAGTACCGTAGCTACCGGTACCTGATATTCCTCCCAAAAATTATTTTATATCAAATCTTCCCTTTAACCAATTTCCATCATGACTCACCTGGTCGTCCTCGTAGATAAACTCTGAAGGGATTTCCCCCTGAAGGATTTTGCCAAATATAGTGTCGCCTCCAGGAGTGGCTGCCTGGGCCTTCTGCACCTCCGCCATGTTGTCCGTTAACTGTCCCGAGTCCCATTAAACCACTACTACCAAACCTTCAAATCTTCTGTTACCCGAACCTTCAAATCTTCTGTTACTAGAAAAATGACGCTTTATTAATGAAGTTTAAAGTTAATTATATTCAGGTTTTATATTAATGTTCCTTAACAGTTGTGTCAGCTGGGCTGTTTATCTCGTCAACAAACTTTATCTCGTCTCACTAAACTTAACATCGGGATATATTTACCTATTATCAGATGTGTGTAGACTAGTGAGGAAAAACTCAGTGCAGTGTGAGAGGTTATCTTGTGATGGACTGTAAGTTAATTGATTGTACGTCACTGTGAGATACGAGGACTTAATAAAGTTGTTTGTTTCTTGTTTACACTTGTAGATGGTGGTTGTTTGTGTGTGTGCTGATCAAAGCTCGGTAGTGTCTGTCTAGCTCATTTTCAAATGCGAATATTAACATCCTCTGCCAAAAATTCCAGAGGTGTACAATCCCGTGTAAATGTGTACTTCCAAGTGTTCAATATGCACCTGTACTACCGTCTCAGTGAGTGACCTGCTTAGACTGATATCAACTGGCATTGAAAAAGTCACAAACATCTGGATAATAGTGGCCATTTGCTGTCTTATATGTCTTTATAACATCACCCCACTGCTACCTGTAGGATAGGGTAGGTAATTTGAGGTCTTCTATTATTTCTTTGGTAAAGTTAAGTTTCCATCCACACTGTAACTATGTGCAATATTTGGAATTGCTTGTTATAGAACAAGACCACACAAACACATTCTAAATATTTAAAGGTATTGAAAATGTAAACTCAAATCACTTCTTCATGATGTCAGTCACTACTAACACAAGTGGTCATGTAGAACAGTTATAAGTAAGTGCTTCATCACACAGGGAATGGTAGACCTATGGAACAGTACCAGCTGAAACTGTGGAAACAAGGATTTTATTAGGCTGCAAAGTAGCCCAGAATAGGACTGCTAAGAACAATGGAAAATCCTGCACAGGACATGGTCTTCCCCTGACGTAGCTCGATCAATGGCAAAGAGGATAAGGATAAAAAGTAAAGTAAAAGTTTTAAAAAGTGGAATGAACTGTGGATATCAGTAGAGCTGTAGGCTAGATGTTTAACATCATTCCTGATATTTTCATACAGCATTGTTTTATTTAAAGAAACTCGAAAAGCTCCATTCGAGGTAAATCTCGACATTTAACATCATCCAGTATATATACTGTTTACTGTTAGCAAAGTTATCTTCATGCCTCATTTTAAGAGTAACTGTATTGAGATACTTTTTACCAGTGTGAGACTTACAGAAAATATATAAGTAACATTGTGTGTGTGTGATTCTACCTTTGGATGTGTGTCCAGAATTTAGTTTTCTTTCTGTAGGTAAAAATGATGTGTACAACCTTATGAAAATGAGAAATCTCTAATACTTAATCAAGACTGAAAAAAATTGTTTCCAAAAGAAACACAGAAAGAGGAATTCAGTTTAAGAAACCAATGAAAGCTCTCAGAGAGATTGAAAAGTTTTTGCATTTGCGAGGGAATATATATTTTATGAGGAGAAACTTCTATTGTCTGGTAATGCTGTGATCATGATAGACAACTTCCTGTATGAGAGGAAGATAGGAAACTCTCCACCTCAGAAACAGCTCTATAACTTCTTGATAACTGAGAGACAAATATACGAAGAGAGAAAATGAGGAGAGGCAGGAGGAGAGGGGCGACCTGCTAAGCTGTTCCCAGTTGTGCTCCGAGAATGGAGGACTTAAAAATAATGTATTGCAAGTGAGAAATGAATCTACAATCAATGTTTCGTGACTTTAATCCAGGGTAAGTTAAGGCTCACAGTGTTAAAATTCCATCAGTACTGTGGCTGATGGTCAAGTTCAAGTAGTGAATAACTTGATTTTTCTCTCTGCCTGTAGTATACAGTGATCCCTCGGTTAACGGGCGCCTCGGTTAATGAAATTTCGGTTAACGAATACCTTCCATAAGATTCTTAACTTCAGTTAACGAGCATTCCCTCGATTAACGAATTCATTACGAGCACCACTCAACATGTTTTCGCTTGCACACTAGCTGTCATATTAGTCTGCCAATACAGTAATCGGTTCTAGGGCTTAAATTCCTTACTATTTTAGTAAATATCAAGAAGTTTGTACTATTCAATAATTTTAAAAGTCTTATATTAAATTTTTTAGTCTTTTTAACACTTATTTAACATAATTTAAGTACAGGGAAACTAGTTATTAGCCTGTCATACAGGCGTCAGTCTCTGTGTCTTTTCAGTGGAGGTAACATCTTGCTTCAGACTCTCTTCAACATAAATGCTTTTTTCTTTGTTTCCAGTCAAATTATTGGTCATTTTGAAATTTATTTTACATATTGACAATATAGAATGCAGTGCAGTGTTGATTTAAAGAAAATAATCTTGAATTACACCAAGTGAATTAAAATTTTATGGGTGAAATGGCGCCATGGGGTGACTTCTCTTCCACCCCAATGCCTTCTCTTATCCCTTCTCCTCCACCCCCATTCTAATTCCCATCATCATCATCATCCAGGAACCTTCTACATACACACCTCAAAGTAAGTGTACTTTATACCTTTTTTGTTGACTTTAGGCAATTTTTGGTGCGCTGGAACCAATTACCCAAAAACCCATTGAAACAATGGTTTCGGTTAACGAATTTTTCGGTTAACGAGCAACCTTCTAGAACGAATTGTGCTAATTAACAGAGGGACCACTGTATATACAATATCATTCATTGGTCTTTGTCCTGCTTTCCAGACTGGTGACTCATGCTTATTTTCCTCCATCCTTTCACAGTTCTAAAGACTCCTTCATATTTAGCCACTTCACAGACCTCATAAATACATATAGTACTGTACATTATACCTAGGCATCCATAAATCATAGCATTTTAGGATCCCATTAATTGCTTTACTGTACAGTACAGCATATTATGTAAATACTGTATATTCAGAATACTGTGCATGGATCATGGATAAATTGTCTGCACAATGTACAGTACTGTATGTGTAATGTGATCACCATAAATCAGAATAAGAAACTTGTCTCAATAGGTTTGTAGTAATTGTTACAATATTTTGTGTGCAATTTTTTTTTACAGTTAACATAACATGGTACAGTGATGATATTGATATATCCTAATACAGTAGATACCAAAGGAACATAGCTTATCACACTATTAGCCTCTTTTTCTTTCTCATTTTAGTACCTTTATACACTTTATCATATTGTTTTAGTTAATCGTCAGTTTATTAGCTATTCAGTTGGTGGCTTACTGGGACCACTGGGAATCTTTCCTTTGGCTGGTGCTGGACATATCGATACACAGGCTTTTCAGTGTACACCAATCTTGTAGCCAGATCCTTGGTGGTGTTTAAATTGTTTTGTTCATAACTTATTGATTGAAGTTAAGCAAATTGATGAATGAATTATTTTCCAATTTCACATAATTTTTAGGCACCTTGCTCTATGATAGATTTAATCCTAACAATATTATGTTTGACAAAACTTATTCTCTGAAGAATTTTCACAACACTTGAAGGGTGACAAAAATTATATTCACACAGGAAGTTCATCGTGTGGGTGTGCCTGGCGACATTCACGGCCCTGCTGGCCCTACGCCTTGACAACGAGTTGGATTGGAACTTCTGGGTTGTGTTCTCACCAATATGGGTGTGGAAGGCCTTGGTGGTGGTTGGGGCCCTCATCGGCAATATTGTTTGGTGGAAGAACCCTCATTACAGGTGCACCAATTTACATAGTAGCTACTGTACAGTACCTGTTCAGCTAATAATTTCTTCTTGATCTGGTATATCTCTATCCATCATTGTGTATCCATTGATCACTCTTACTCCCTTCCTAACTGAATAGAATGGAAATGGTATAACTTTCTTAAAAGACAGTAAAACATTTGATTATAAATTCTCTATTATGTGGAAGTCTTAGGTGTTCTCAGTCTCTGAAGACACTATATGGTGTTGTTCTCAATGTGGAACTACTACGAAGGAGCCTTTTCATACCATTATCAACTCATGCTAAGAGAAATAAAGGGATTCAAGACCTCTTCATTACTGTACTTGAAAGTTTATATGTTAGCAGACCCTTGCCAACCGCGGATTTCCCATCCGTGATTTCGGTATCTACAGTTTTTACTCTGTATACTGGGTATCATTTCACTAACCATGGCATTGAATTTCAAGTAACTGCGGATTACTGTGCCGTCTTTATCCCTCTGCAGTCTAATGCATTCCTCCATAAATGAGGAATGAATAAAATACCTGTAATTCTAATAAATAAAAGAAAAGAAAAGATACTGCATTTTCATTTGGCAATTGTTTCACGCAAGACTGGGAAACAGGAGCGGCACCCCACACCTCTCCTCCCACGATTGTGGGCTAACTCCAAGGATGTAACAAATGTTTATTCTTTTTATGTTTACTTTTATGATAATAATTTTTTTTTACACATTCTGTATGAACACAATGTCCACCAAAATGTGAATTGAAAAAATAACAAATACAGCTTTGCCTGGTAGGGGATGAGCTAGGATGTAGCTACAGGGACAGTCTAACTTAGTGACCTGCCTGGTCCCACACACACAACCCATGCTTTTTTTCTTATTTATATAAACATACCATATCCATGGAAAGTACTGTAAAATTAATATTATTATTATATTAAGCTATTTTATATGTATTTGACTCATATAATTAAATATACAATACAGTATTGTTTAGTGAAAGAACAGGCAACTGAAGTAGAGTGTTATGCATGACCATGAACCCAACCCCATAGCCTTTATTCTTGCCAACTACTGGTTTTTCTATGAACCTAACTTCTGTGGTTGCAAGAGACTATTGATTTAATTAATTTGTTGATTTGTTTGAACTGTTTAATGATCTTTGTGTTTTGAATTGCAGGAATGGTGTTCCAGGTTGTTCCAGAATTTATTAAATTGTCTTTGGTATAGATTCTAATGCTGTACTGTTTGTATCTGCTGACAACTTAGTACTGGTGTGGAGAGGCTATGGAGAAATTTAAGAAAATAGAAGGTTGAAATGGAGTCGGAAGTTTTAAAATGAATGGGCAAAAGAAAAGTATGATTAACGAAATAGGTGAGAGACCAGATGGAAAGTGAAAGGGCCATGTGCTGTCTGTATGAAAGGTGTTGGCAGTTACTCAATAATGTACAGCTAGTGTAAAAAGATCATGGATACACAACAGGTGCAGTGGTGCCAATGGCTGACTTAAGTACAGGAGTGTATTTAATATTTGCATGTGGACTTATACCAAGGCTGCAGAAATGTCTTTCCAGAGTGAATTACCA